CCCTCCTCCTTTTGTTTACAAAAATGTGCTAAGACTAATTGTTTGAGAAGAAACTATTGGAAAGATCACTTGAAAAATCAATCAGAATAAGGCTGAGATTTGAGGATAAGATCTGATACGATTTGATTCTCCAAATAGGAATGACGAAATTTGCGAAAAATTGTACGAAATTTAGTTTTAGATATCCACAAAGGATTTTCGAATCAGATTCTCAAACCTTAGTTTGAGAAATGTTTAGCAAAGCTACATAGCACGAAAGATTAAGGAAGGAAAATTATAAAAACGAATCGACAATCACTAGGGAGAAATTCACTCAAACGGTAAACAGGAATTACTAACCCGATGACAAATCAACAGGAAGGACAGTAATCAGAAGAACGAATCGACAATCAATTGAGAAAAACAATCGCTCTGACAATAAAAGGAAAAACGTATAAGAATCATAAATTAAGGTTTTCATTAATCAGAATTACCAGTCATCATGCCCATATGATCAGCAAGAGGGTCTACCCCAAGAAGAGCCAAGGTCATACTAGAGATGCAACCATACAAACAAAAATTTGACCGCAGCGCCCTCGCACTCCAGATGCCTTCGTGAAGAAAACACAGCTGCCGCTGATAGCCCTTCTTCAAAAAAACGGACTCGATGTCGCCTCCAATCCTCCTCCCACTCCACGTGAGGACGCGCTCCTCCCTGTCCGCCTGCATTAACCAACCTCCTCCACAAAACCGCGCAGGCAGAGAAGCAAAGGCAACCAATATGCCGAGAATCTCATGAAAACTTGCCCCCTTACAAGGACAATCTTCCCTTCATCCAGCGTGCTGACCTGCAGCATCACTTGGTGAAGCGTGAAGCCGGAGATGGCACCCCCTGTGCTTTCAAAATGCAGGCCATACTAAGTCATGCCACATCGTCTCTACCCTCCCACTGTCAAGTCTTGCGCCCACTGCCTCCATCTGCCCACCACGTCGCCTAATCCTCTGTTAGCTCTTGCGTCGCGCCATGTCCGCTCCGACGGCGTTCGCGCGGGGCGCAGCGCTCCTGGTCGCACTGCGCCCGGGTGTGATTCAAACCATTGACCTTAGCCCCCTTGAAGAATACAACGGTGGGGGTTTGAACCTTTTCTTTTTTGTTTTGTTTTCTCGAACTGCGATTCGGTTTTCAGGTATTGGACCTGAGTAGCGGCAGATCAACGGCTAAAAAAGTGGAGTCCTTGGTGACAGCTGATTCTGAGTTAGGGTAATGTAGGTAGACCTTACCGGTGTCGGTTTGTGGCCTCGAACTCTGGTTCTTTTAGATGATAGGTGGATTGTTAGTTTCTAGAATAAACACTTTCTACCCGATCTCTGCATGTGGATTGGGGTCTCAAGCAGGTACCCTCCAATACATCGGAAAGGTTCTTGGGGGTGCAGGTTTATTTATCGGACTGTGCTGAAACTCAAGATGACATACTAGCTGATAAGGTTTCAGCGAAGATTGCAGGGTGGAAGCGCAATTTCAAGCTATCCCTGTTTGGGCGCGCTCTGGTTCTTTCTTTAGCAGCTTTGTCAATATTGTGGTTTTCACTGACTGTACATATATTGGGAGAAAAAGCATACAGGCGAATAAGAAGGGATGCCGCCAGGTATCTATGAAAACCAGCAGCAGCCCTACACCAAGGTTTCATTTGGAAGATAGCCTGGGAAACGATCATGCAACCTCGAGAATAGGGGGGCCTGGGTATCTTGGACCCCATCCATCAGAATCTTGCCTTGTTGTGTAAATGGGTCATTGCAGCATGTTTTGGCCCTAGGTCCAAACTTTGGGTTAGGTTGGCGGAATTCCTCCTGGCTAAAAAATGGAATCTGCATAGATCGTCGGATGTATGGGTATGTTTGTTTATCCCGTCATTTACAGCAAAACGCCCGAAATCTAAAGCCTGGCGAAATATCCTATATGCATGGCACAAATTGTTCCCCCAGTCACTGTCACAACCCTAATCTAGAATGGAGGTATTGAACCAAATCCTTTTTGAAAATCCTTTTATCACCCTCCCAGACGGTTCTCTCTTTAAAGTTGATGGTTTTGCTGGATCTTTTGGCAAAACATGGGTAGAAAAGGGAGTCATCCAGATTAAAGACTTGTAGGACACCAATGCTAATGATTGATTTACTCCTTCTGAGATGAGGAGGAGGCTTCCTCTCCTTCATAATGTTGAGTCAAATTATCAACAGATTCTGAGCACTATTCCAGGATATTGGAAAGCCCGACTCCCTAGCACAGCAGAACACCTTCAGGGAACATGGTTAGTTAACTCTGTGGATCGTTCTGAAATTTGGAAAGTGATTGGCCCTGAGTTACAGGGAGGAGTTAAAGTACGGGTTTGGAAGCGCTAGCCGAGGACGGTAAGGGGCATGGAGCCGACTCTTCAGAGAGACGAGGACAAGGTCATCTCCTCGACACTGGAGGGAGTGGAATGCCGTGTCTGGTGGGATAAAACGGACAACAACGAAAGGGCTAAACTTTGGGTTGAGGATGCATCAACCATCCAAATAGAGCCGCTACTGTACGGCTGGTTGGAAGCCTCACGGCTATACAATCCGAAGCCGGTAATAGCGTATAGGTCTAAAATAGGGCTCAAGTGCTGCGGACAAAGGTCAAGAAGCAACCAATACATCTGGCGGCAAATAGATTAGCGAAAGAACCTGACTTTCAGCTCGGGAACATGGATTTGTTCGCTCTGTGGAGAGCTCTGAAAAGGATGGTTTCTCAGAAACAGGCTAA